AAATGTTATGCTCCGATGTGTTAGTCTCATATGGAAATCTATTTTTGGCAGAAAAAGTAATCGAATTGGAGAATGATGTCTGAATCAAAGTTGTAGCCAGATGAGTTAGCTTTCCAACGCATTTTGAATCGCCTCAATCGGACATCGGAATACAAAATTACGATAAAAACACTGAAAGAAGGTGCAACTGCCTGTTTAAAACAAGAAATTCCGTTACATAGTCCGTTAAAACAACAAATTCTGTTAATTTTTCCGTTAAAAATAAGAAATTCCGTTACATAGCCACTTTTAATATATAGAAGATATATATAAATATATATATTTGGCTAACTTATCAATCCTCCTGACTATCTGTTGGATCACGTTTGATAATTCCTTTGAAGTCGTTTTTTTATATGGATTCCCTTTACAAATTCCTTCGTAGGATTCGACAGTTAGCTTCTCTAATCCACTAAGTTTTCAATAAAACATCCTTTCAATTTTTTGTAGCCTTCTTTGGTTCTAATTTTTCTAAATTCATCTCTCTCGAACTCATTTTTAATTATAAATTTTATGGAATTCACAAATTTTTTTTATCAAATTTTCAACCACGTACTTCATCAAAATCTATTAAAAATTTAATTTTTATCAAAATCAAACGGGAGTCTCACAACTTTTCAACAACGCGTTTCATTAACTTCTATCACCTAACAGGGACATAATTTGATATGCATATATGTAACATCAATTATCAAATGAAACGGAAAATTATTCCCCCTATTTGAAGTAGTTAAAAATTAAATTTTATTAGATTTTGATTAAAATTGATAAAATAGGTACTTAAAATTTTGAAAAAAAAAAGGTGAATTCAACAAAATATATATGATTAAAATTAATTTTTGACGTTAACTTAAATTATAATTAAAATTTCAAACCACGCCAAACAAGGCTATTTATGATTGGATGCATTAGGGAAACATGTGAGCATGTGATTCTGGTCCAATAATATGATCCCATCAGGACGCTACTTTAAGCCGTGCTTGACAATTATTATTTGAATTTTTTTTATATGTTCATTTTCAATCACACATTCGCTAGATAAAATATTTTGCACGTAAATTCAAAAGTTTTCTTTACTTATAATAAATTACAAACAAATTTCGACTCTTCAAAAAAATTACCGATTGGTCTCATTTCCGAATAAAAGTACACCAAATTTATTTAATTGACAAATGATGTTTAAGTCGCAGTGAAATTCATTGTCTTCCCTTTACAAAAACAAAGCGGTGCTTGGATCCTTGTCAATTGCATGTTAATTCTAAAATTCTGAACGAGATTTGAGGAGGAATTTTAGGTAATTGCTAACTCCAAAGGACAAGATCAATCAATTTTACAACAATTCACGTGACCAATCAACCATTGGTCTACTTCAATGTCACAACAAACAAACAATTAACACGATTAGCTTCAACGATCAACCTCAATCAAATCAATACGCGGTTTTGATTTCCAATAATTAGAAATACGAGAGAATGAAGCAACTAAATTTCTATTTAGGCCATGTTTGAGCCAAATTATTATAGAATGAGAATGAAAAATATAGTCATTATTGGGACCCACACAAGAAATAGAAAATTTGAATTTAAATGTTGATGTGATGGATAACGGTCATATTTTTCATATTAATGAAATAAAAAGATGGCCCAAACGGGGGCTTAGTTCCTATTCGGTGTAGATTAAAATTAAGTTTTTAGTAGATTATTATAAAAATTAATGAAATGCGTTGTTAAAAAGATGTGAATCTCATTAATTAAAATTAATTGGGACCCACACAAGAAAAGTTTTTAAAGGAATTTAGTCCATTGTCCTCTAAAAGGACTTTCGAAATCGAAAGAGCTTTTAAAAATTAAGATAACGTTTTTTTCAAAAACTCTTTTATAGAAAATAAAAGCAGAAATCCGCGTGAACAAGTAACCAATATTTCAAGATTTCGGACAAACTGCTATGGCGTTACTATTAAATAGAAAAAAGAAAAAGCTTAGGAAACCAAAACCATCACTGATCACACCACGCCACAGTACCACATTCCCATTCATATCCCACCATCTATGGCCTACCCCGCACATTTCACCATCTTCCCCCACTCAACTTGCCCTTTACTTTATTCTTTCTCCTACCACGATTCGCCGGAGCACATACAAATTAACTCAACTGTCCACCAGGTTTTGTTATTTTCTTATAGTAGCGTTTATTTTCTTGATTCTTTTCATCTTTACTTAACTTTACTGATGTTGCTATCATACCAGGCTGTATTGGGATTTAATTTAAGTTCTTGTTGATTTTTGGAATTGGAAAGGTTTGAGGCTGTTTAGAGTGAATTTGGTTATGTGGGTTGCTTTGAATTGGAATCACGGTTGTGTCAGTGTACTGTTTTTGGACTTCTGGAGTAGAACTGAGGCTGACTAGTTAAAAATTAAGGGTTTTGTATCTAAAAATAGCAGCTTCAAAGATTTGATTTCTGATCTGGTCCGATTTCTAAGAGTTAAGCACCTGGTTGCTTCCTGCTTTTGGCTCTTTTTGAGTTTTTGGGTAGTAAATCTATGGAGGCTAGAATAGGAGGTGAAGCTCAGGTTTATTACGGTATGGGTTCTTCCAGTTTAAGGGTGGTGGGGCAGACTGAATGGGATCCCAGTCATTGGAAATGGGATGGAGATCTCTTCCTTGCTACCCCTATCAATCCTAATCTCTCGAATTGCCAGAGCAGGCAGTTTTTTCCGCTTGAGACGGGGATAACAACAACTGGGGGTTCGTCTAACGGGTCCTCTTCCTGCTCTGAAGAATTGAATCGCAGGACTCATAAAGAGAAGAATGATTTGGATAAGAAAAGGAGGCATATCGTTTTTGAAAATGACAATTTAACAGATGAGGTTGGTAGTGTTGCACTGCAGCTCTTCAATGAAGGCAATACTAGAATGGAGATGGGCGGGGGGAGCTCTGATAGAATGCCCGGGAAAAAGACTAAGTTCACTGGAGCTACTTCAAGTCGTGCAGTTTGTCAGGTTGAGGATTGTGGGGCTGATCTGAGTAAGGCCAAAGACTATCATAGACGGCATAAGGTTTGTGAGATGCATTCCAAGGCGAATAGAGCACTTGTTGGTAGTGTCATGCAACGATTCTGCCAGCAGTGCAGCAGGTAGGTCCAAATTCCTCAGCCTCGTGTTTTCTGATGCTATCTTTGTCAAGTCATCACTACTATCTTGGGAATTTGTTATTTTATTTGTAATGCACCAAATAATTACGTCAACCATTTCTTTACTCAAATTTGGTTTTCAGTTAGGTCAGGATTTGATGTTACCAGGCCCAAGTACTAGAAGGCTTTTAGTTGCACAATATTATTTTCAGGAGGTTTTGCTTTTTAGATGCCTAAGGTTTCCCATATATCTGCAGATTTCATGATCTCCAAGAGTTTGATGAGGGGAAGCGAAGTTGCCGGCGACGTTTAGCTGGCCACAACAAAAGGAGGAGGAAAACCCAACCTGACAATGATAAACTTAACAGCCCTGTGAATGATAATCAAACGAGTGGTCATCTATTAATGAGCTTACTGAAAATACTCTCCGACATGCATTGTGAGTGGAACATGCTCTCCCCTTTTAACATTGAGATTTTAATTTATGTAATATAATTTCATGCAACTTCTTATTTTTTATTATTTTCAAGTATCTTATACATATTTCATAAAAACTTATTATTCTGGATTCCACGAGTTGCAGCCAGTAGATTGAACCACAAAGATGACCAGGATCTACTGTCTCATCTTCTACAAAGCTTTGCTAGTCATTGCAACTTACACAGTGAAAGGAACATATCAGGGCGTCTGCAGGAATCACAAAACATGTTGAGGAGTCTGCCATGTATGGAAAATTCGGAGTCGGTATTGGCCTTGCTCTCAAATGGTTCTCGTGGCCAAAGACAACATTCTATGATTCCCACAGATGATATGCCAAAGAAGCACAAGCCCATACAATCTGCAACTTCTCAAAGGCCAGACGCTGTGTTCCCTGTCCTAAGCAGTTCTCCAGCTTATGCAGTAGTCAGGGACAATTCTGCTGGGAGAAGCAAACTAAATAACTTTGATTTGAATGATGTATACGTGGATTCTGATGATGGCATGGAGAATGTAGAAAGGTTGCCTGCCCCTGTGGATCTAGGAGCTGGTTCTCTTGAATGCTCTTCATGGGTGCAACAAGAATCCCATCAATCCAGTCCTCGAACAAGTGGAAATTCAGATTCAGCGTCTGCCCAGTCACCTTCCAGTGGGGATGCTCAGGTATATTTAGTTTTGCAGTGTACCTTCACCTAGTATATTTTAAATTTTGTTCTTTTTGTTATCAATGATGAGATTTATTTTCCTGAAAGCATCTTTGATTAGTATAATTGGGCATTCACTTGTCATGTTATGAAGATGTTCACCTCGAGTTTTTGTATAATTAGGAGAATTACTTTGTGTGATTAATCAACAGTATTTTGTTATTGTATCCCACCTTTGCTTATCATTTTAGTTGTGCAAACCATATTTTTACCTTTCGGTTGATGATAAGAAATTGATCCATCAACTGAATTTTAAACTGCTTTCTAAGTTCACGTAGCATTTAGTTTAATTATTAGTTGGACCGATGTATGTTATGCAAATCTTCTAGACGCACTTTTGTATGGATTGGCATTGATCAATTTTAGCTTTTTTTACATTCTGTTCATATTGTTTCCTTCTCACACTTCATTTTCATTGCAGAGCCGCACAGATCGCATTGTTTGCAAACTATTTGGAAAACAACCAAGTGATTTTCCCGTCTTCTTACGATCACAGGTATTTTTTAAGTTCCTTTTACTTGTTTAATCCTACTTTTTCTTTCTAGTTGTTGGGCAAGCAATATCCCCCAGCCAAAAAGACGAAAACCTAAAAAGAAGAAACCTCGTCATGTCTTTCTCCGAAAACTTAACAATGTAAAATTTTGAACATCCAGATTTTTGATTGGTTATCTCACAGTCCTACTGACATAGAGAGCTACATTAGACCTGGCTGTATCATTTTAACAATTTATCTTCGTCAATCTGAGTCTGCATGGAAGGAGGTATGCTAGTTTTTTATAAATGTGATCGTGAAATTTCTGTTTCTATATTTGTTAATGAACCTCATAAAATTCTTAAATCTAATCACCTTTTACAGCTCTGTTGTGATTTAAGCTCCAGTTTGAGTAGGGTTCTGGGTTTCTCTAATGATGACACTTTCTGGAGCACTGGATGGATGTACATCAGGGTGCAAAATCAAATAGCATTTGTATTCAATGGTCAGTGTTACTGGAAAAATCTTCTTTTTGGTCATATGTTTGCTCAAGATTCTAAATTTTGTGTAAGATTGATTAGTTGGGTCTGTTCTTGTACTGCAGGTCAGGTGGTTGTAGACACCGCTTTGCCTTTCAGCAGCAATGATCCCAGTAAAATTCTAAGTATCAACCCAATTGCCGTGACATCATCTGAGAGAGCTCAATTCGTTGTTAAAGGCTTTAATTTATCGCGGCCTTCGGCGAGGTATGTTTATCATTTGTTATCGCCTTATCTTGTCAGCTTGTGTTCTACCTGCCCTCCCCGATTTTCAGAAATTTTTGTGTCATTTACATTGGACATCGTGTCAAACCAATGGAATATCACGTGTAACTGATAAACCTTTGTTCGCCAGGTTACTCTGTTCACTAGAAAGTAATTATCTGGAAGCTAATAGTGAATCATTGGAACATTTTGATTGCCTTGAGGGGAATGTTCAGTGTCTGAACTTTTCCTGTTCTATTCCAGCAGTTACTGGGAGAGGCTTTATTGAGGTGATGTTTATTCTGTTTGTAATATATTGTTTTTTATAAGGGAGCGTGTCATATTTTTTAATCTACTGCAAGAGTCATTTTGTGCAATATCATTTATATGTCAGGAAAGCTGATAATAAAGCACTCTAATTGGGAGGACTAATTCTGTCTTTGCATTGACTCTACTTTTGCACAGACAAAATATCCATATTATAGAGCTGGGTTCTGTACCCACTTCCCACGTGATGTGGCATGGTGACCATTTAAATTTACAAGCTTGCTAACCTTATATGTTATCTGAAATTATTCAGGTTGAAGATCATGGTCTCAGCAGCAGCTTCTTTCCATTCATAGTTGCTGAGCATGATGTTTGCACTGAAATCTGTACACTTGAGAGAGAAATAGAATTGGCTGTGACAGATTCGTACCTCGGTCTCAGAGGCACTGAAAAATTCGAGGTGCACAATCAAGCCATGGATTTCATCCATGAAATGGGATGGCTTCTCCACAGAAATAGTTTGAAGTCTAGGTTGGGGCACTTGGATCCCAACTCTGACTGTTTTCCTTTTAAACGGTTTAAGTGCCTCATGGAGTTCTCTGTTGACCATGATTGGTGTGCTGTTGTAAAGAAACTCCTGGGCATTCTTTTCGGTGGAACAGTAGGTGCAGGAGAGCAGCCTTTCTTGAAGTTTGCACTGCATGAGATGGGTCTCCTTCACCGAGCTGTGCGGAAGAATTCTAGGTCTCTTGTAGAACTACTGTTGAGATATGCCCCAGAGAGTGTAGCAGATGAACTAAATTCGGAATACAAATCCCTAGTTGAAAGTCATGGGGATTTCTTATTTAGACCTGATGTTGTGGGGCCCGCAGGTTTGACTCCTCTTCACGTTGCTGCTGGTAGGGATGGATCTGAGGATATACTGGATGCACTGACTGATGATCCTGGAAAGGTAATTTAGTTTGTCTTTCCATCAAGTTTGACGTTTACACTTTACAGTGAGCCATATAACTTTGTTTCTTCAACGCATGCATTCTTCTACCAAACAGTTCATTATCTTGCTGGGCATGTACTATATTTTCTTGGCCGGTAGAGCGTTCTTATATGGTAGAGCTAGTTTTGGGCTAGTGAATTTTGACACGCATGGCTCTACTCTGAGCAGCGTTCAGTTTTCACTTAACTAGAACTGAGTGCTTGTGCTTCTATATAAGAAGATTGCCAATGTACTGCATGTTTGGGAAAACTTAAAAATTTTTAAGCTGGTCAAACATATTTTTTATTCACACATTTTGTAGGACCCACAACTTATTACCTACTTATTATCCACGCATTCCATATGACCCACAGCTTATAAAAACTTAAAAGCATGACCAAGCAAGCACTCGTATAATTAGATTGCTGGTTTTTTATTTCAGGTAGGAGTCAAAGCTTGGAAGAGTGCTCGTGACAGCACAGGATTTACGCCCGAAGACTATGCTCGATTGCGAGGCCACTATTCTTACATTCATCTTGCGCAGAGGAAAATTAACAAGAAAGTATATTCCGGGCACGTGGTGGTTGATATTTCTGGCACTCTTTCAGATGGAAGCACCAATCAGAAGCAAAATGAAGGAGTTACAGCTGGTTTTGAGATAGGAAGGACCATTCAGCAGTCGTGTAGGGTTTGTGATCAGAAGCTTGCTTTCGGTATTGGCAGTCAATCTCTGGTTTACAGGCCTGCAATGCTCTCAATGGTGGGCATAGCTGCTGTGTGTGTTTGCATGGCTCTTCTTTTCAAAAGCTCGCCTGAAGTTCTCTATTTGTTCAGTCCCTTCAGGTGGGAGATGTTGGACTATGGTTCCGGCTGAGTTTGACACGAAATTAAGTGTGTTAAAAGTAATAGGTCTTTTATATTTGTATAAGCTGTAGAGTTGATACACGTATAGAAATAGCTCTTTTGGAAAGATTGCAGATTCTAGGAGTTTTAACCTATTTATATTGTTCCATGAAAATGTAATTTGCTTTGCTTTTGGGGAGTGTATCTGTGACTTTTACATACGTCGTGATATTGGATCGCTTAATTAAAAGCAACTTATTTAACAAATTGTTGTGAGATTTATCTTTTGTGAAGCAATAGGCTACTCAATGTATGTTAGAAAGAAACTATCCATTGTGTAATGCTCTGTTCAATGCATATGGGCCATTCACTGCATTAAAAACTTTCCAGATGCTACAATCTCACATCAGTTTCTTACCTGCATCTGATGAGAGGGGGAGTGGTGCCTGTGCTAGATGGCAGAGAATATTGTGTTGAGAAGTGTTTGGTGTACAACCACGGATGACAACTAACATTCTATCATTGGACAAATAGTTGTTTTCGCGACCAATAATGTTTTGCCAATACACCAATTGTCAATAAAGTCATCATTCCTAGTTGTACAATTAACATTATTCTATCATGTTTACATGCCTCGAAATTCGCGGCAGGCTTTCCATTTCATTCATCGAGAAGTCAATGTCATATATATGACCAAGCATCTGGCATCAGCTGGAGTGTCGACCGGGTTCATTTAAAGACAATGATTAAATAAAGAATGAAATTGGCTGGGGAGAGCCAAACTCTCTCTATTCTTAACTACCAATGATTACAAATTTCAATATTTTACCATTTAAATTATTCAAATCCCATTTGAATTGATTGACAATTAACATATAAAAAAATATGTTAAATAAGATATGAGAATAAATCAGTAAATGTTCATTGGAAAAACAAAATAAAGAGTAAAGATTCTAATTGGAGGGCATAAAAACATTACTCTTTAAATTTAGAGTAATGTTATTCAACACCATCGATATTTAATCACATAGACTGGGGTTACAACCTCATTACTCTTAAATTATAAGTTCAGTCTAATTCAAGAATTTATGGCTTATTTAATAGAGGATATGATAGATGACACATATTCCTAAAATTAAAAATACACACATTCCAATATTCTTGCATTTGTCTTCTTGTGATTGTATGGTTGTGTTGCCGCCTAATGGAGAGGGCCAAAATAATATTAGAGAAAATTCACATAGATGGTTTCGAATAGAAAATAAAATATTAACACAGAAAAACTTAAAAAAAAAAAAAAAAGACAGTTCATCTTCTTCCTCTGTCACTCCTGAATTCTAAATAAACAGGTGCGATAAAAGACTAGATATTATCTCTACTAACCTTCATATCTACTGAACTTGAAGTACATTGAATGGAACGATGGAAACCACAAATTCCACGGTCCAAGTTACATAGTTAAAATGGAGATAATCCCGTCCATATCTCCCTTAAAAGTAGACTTTGCAACTCTGATTTCCTCCTCCATACATTTCGATATTATTGAGCAAAACGTATCTACCTTTTTATTTTTTGGCATTTTCAGCCTTATTTTCATCTTTCATTGTGGAAATAATCATTTTCATCCAATTTTCAATAAAAAAAATGTAAAATGATAAATATACCATCATATTTAAATAAAACAAAAAATAAAATAAAAATTAAACAACAAATTCTAATCACTCCTAAATTTTGTTAAAAAGTGCAAATGAGTCTAAATAAAGTATTAAAAGGGTAATTAGTACAAAATGTCCATACCTTTCAATATTATTGTGCAATACGTACATACCTTTCAATTTTTTACATTTTCATCTTTATTTTCACATTTCATTGCGGAAATCATCCTTTCATCCATTTTTCTCAATTAAAAATTGTAAAATGACGAACATACACTCCTATTTAAATAAAACAAAAATAAAGAGAAATAAAGAACAAATTGCAACTATACTCCCGAATTTTCCAAAAAAGTACAAATAAGTTTCAAATAAATAATTAATTTTTTTAAAAAAATTCGGGATTCTTTATTTTTGTTTTATTTAAAGATGATGGTTTATTCGTCATTTTACAACTTTTAATTGAGAAAATTAGTGAAAATAATATGTTCGCAATGAAATCTAAAAATAGGAGTGAAAATATATTTAAAAAATGAAAGATAGATACGTTTTGCACAATAATTTTGAAATGTATGGACATTTTGTGCTAATTACTCTTTTAATAATTTATTTGGACACATTCGCACTTTTTAAAAAAGTTTGGTAGTATGATTGCAATTTGTTCTTTAATATTTCATTTTACATTTTTTTATTGAGAAATTGAATGAAAATTATGATTTCCACAATGCAATATAAAAAGTATGAGTAAAAATGCTAAAAAATTAGAACGTATGAACGTTTTGCACAATAACATTAAAAGGTAAGGACGTTTAGTACAATTACCATTTTTTTCACGTCAGAAAGAAAACTCATTTAATTGCATAAATTTATGACGGGATCAAACTTTTCTATGCATTCATAATATCATATTAACAAAATCAATTTTCTTTTGTCGTATTTGAAAAAATTCCGTTCATGATGTTCTTTTTCAATCGAAAATGTTTCCACAATTTGTTTTCTACAATTTTTAAGTAAATTTGAATATATAATATAAAGTTCAACAAACGAGACGTGCAACAATTTTATTATGTTTCTTGGTCCTTATAGCTACAAAAGAGTTGTGGTATTTCCGTCTTGCCCTTTTTGGATTATTTTACTTTTGGGTTGTGCTATGGGTACATAGCATAATACATAAGGATGTCCATAATGGACACATGGAGATCCCTTATTGGAGTGGTGTCTGGGCCTGCAGGCACCTCCCCAATAGGGAGCTTCCATGTGTCCATTTTGGATACCATTATGGAACATATTATGTACATATAGCATTTCCCTTTACTTTTTGCTCTTTTGGGTGAGAAAATAATTTGACAAAATGTCCATTGAAATAAAATAAAATGGCAATAACATTGCATCCACGGAACTAAGGGCCATTTTGAATGAATTCCATCCAAAAGGACTATTTGCAAAAAAAAAAAAGCAAAAAATTGGAAATCATTTGCACGATATTTAGGTCATGTTTGATAGGGGTTGAATTCCATGGAAAATGGAAAAGTAATTCCATTTCCACCTAAAAAGCCATGTTTGATGGCTTAACTTTTCCCTAGAAAATGTTTTCCCAACCCTCCCACCACGCGCCCATTTTCCTCAATTTGTGGGAAATCCTTTTCCCACCATTTTGGTGGGAAAAGGAATTCTATTAGACTTTGCAACTCTGATTTCCTCTTCTCCATTTTTGTACTTCCCCTAACTGTAGTTACATGATCATTTTCGTTTTTATTTTACTGAATTCCAAGAAATTAATTGAAAAAAATAGTATTTTTGTGGATAATTAACACAAAATGTTCTTATCTTTCAATATTATTGTACAAAACGTATTTACCTTTCATTTTTTGGCATTTTCTCATCTATTTTCATATTTTCATTGTGGAAATCGTAATTTTCATCTAATTTTTTAATAAAAAATGTAAAATGAAAAATATACCCCACATTTAAATAATAATAAAAAAAAACGAAAAATTAAATAACAAATTGTAATTACACTCCCAACTTTTGTAAAAAAATGTGCAAATGAGTCTAAATAAATTATTAAAAGGGTAATTAGTACAAAATGTCCATACCTTTCAATATTATTGTGCAATACGTACATACATTTCACTTTCTTACATTTTCACCCTTATTTTCACATTTCATTGCGGAAATCATCATTTCATCCATTTTTCTCAAGTAAAAGTTGTAAAATGACGAACACACCCTCCTATTTAAATAAAAAATAAATAAATAACAAATTGCAACTATACTCCCGAATTTTCCAAAAAAGTACAAATAAATTTCAAATAAATTATTAATTTTTTTTGAAAAATTCGGGAGTATAATTGCAATTTGTTCTTTATTTTTGTTTTATTTAAAGATGATGGTTTATTCGTCATTTTACAACTTTTAATTGAGAAAATTGGTGAAAATGATATGTTCGCAATGAAATGTAAAAATAAGGGTGAAAATATATTAAAAGAATGAAAGATAGATACGTTTTGCACAATAATTTTGAAATGTAGGGACGTTTTGTGCTAATTACTCTTTCAGTAATTTATTTGGACACGTTCACACTTTTTAAGAAAGTTTGGTAGTATGATTGCAATTTTGTTCTTTAATATTTCTGACATTTTTTTTTATTGAGAAATTGAATGAAAATGATGATTTCCACAATGCAATATAAAAGTATGAGTAAAAATGCTAAAAAAAATAGAACGTATGAACGTTTTGCACAATAACATTAAAAGATAAGGACGTTTTGTACAATTACCATTTTTTTCACGTCAGAAAGAAAACTCATTTAATTGCATAAATTTATAACGGGGATCAAACTTTTCTATGCATTCATAATATCATATTAACAAAATCAATTTTCTTTGGTCGTATTTGAAAAAATCCGTTCATGATGTTCTTTTTCAATCGAAAATGTTTCCACAATTTGTTTTCTACAATTTTTAAGTAAATTTGAATATATAATATAAAGTTCAACAAACGAGACGTGCAACAATTTTGTTATGTTTTTTGGTCCTTATGGCTACAAAAGAGTTGTGGTATTTTCATCTTGCCCTTTTTGGCGTTACGGTCGATTATTTTACTTTTTGCTCTTTTGGGCGAGAAAATAATTTGACAAAATGTCCATTGAAATAAAATAAAATGGCAATAACATTGCATCCACGGAACTAAGGGCCATTTTGAATTAATTCCATCCAAAAGGACTATTCGCAAAAAAAGCAAAAAATTGGAAGTCATTTGCACGATATTTAGAAGGTTTGAACCAAAAAATTGCAATTTGAGCAAATGTTGAGACCAAGTGCACAGACTCCCCGCTGAAATATGTAGCATTGGAATGTCAAAAGTCAAACTCTAAGGTAAAATCATAAAAGAAGAGAGATGCGGTGAGCGTGGATCGAACACGCGACCTTCAGATCTTCAGTCTGACGCTCTCCCAACTGAGCTATCCCCGCTTGTTGTGAAGGCGTCTGAATAATTTTAATTATTAAGTTAAAATACCAACCACAATCTTCCCTTCTCTCATTAATCCAGTCTGTTGTTGAGAGGGCATTAGGAGTTGGAAGATGGGGCGTGGCAGGATTGATTCCTTCAAACAAGAATTCTCTTTGCGTTTGTTCTTTCTCTTTTATTAATTATCTTTTCCACTAATTAATAATCGCTGTTAATAATTAATCCATGTTTAATTAAAAAAAATACAGATGAAAGATGCCAAGAATCACAAGCAATCATCGCCAATTATCCCGACCGAGTACCGGTAATCTATTCTATCAACCTTTTTCATAATAATTTTGTTCTAGTATTTGATATCAATTGAACTAATGCCTTAAATAATTGCAAGTTTATTCGTTATTTGAATTTAGAATATGCATCTTAATTATCAAAATATGGGGCAGCGTGCAAATTCAAAATTGTTGACGTTAAACGCTTTTCCAAATTTGGATTTTTGTCTCTTTCTGCTTCAGTTAAAGGAAGCTTGGAGGCTTTAATTTGCTGAGTTCATCTAAAAAGGACATAGTATTTTCTTTGCATGTATATCTGTTTTCTTATGAGACATTGCTAGGACATGTTATGTTAGGGGTAAAAGATAACCAAGATATAAGGGTCTAGAAACACTCTATGTCATAAACCTTGCTCATTGCCTGTCATCACTCCATGATGGCTCTGATTCCGACCCAATTCCCTTCTTCTGCTCAATCCTTTTACTTTTCACTTTCTTTATTGACCTACGAAATGATTGGGAATGGAGTGCTTAGGATCAGCAGAATTCGAAAGCTACCGAGTGCAGAACCAACTTGTTTCACACTTGGAGAACAAGGTTTACACTCTACACTTTAATCTATGCTGAGATGGGAAGGGGAAGTGATGACAAACACAATCGTACAAGAACAAGATTGAGAAAGAAAGAGAAGAAGAGGGAGAGAAAAGAGAGAAATTGAGGAAGAAAGTATCAATTTTATACATATCAAAGTTGTATCTATTACAATACCTTTATATAGGGTTCAAACTAGTCCTTATTGAAGTAGGAAAATACGGTAAAATCTTGTTTCATAAAATAAGCATCTAATTTGAAAAATAAATGTCTTTTCTAAGATTCCCATCAGGGAGGAGGCAAAGATGTCTGCAGCTTTCACCGTTGATCTTCAGACTTGAACTATTGCATTTGTAATATGTCTAGCTACGTGTTCAAGAGCTTTAATCTTTGCAGAAGGCAGAGTTGGTGTATACTTGATTGAATGGAAAAATAAAAAATAAAAATCCTGCACTTATTCAATTATGCTGATAAAATTGTTATAGTTGTCAAATTTTTCATGCCACCATCTACTGACTGAATTTTCATATTCCTTTCAGATTGATATCGAGTTTGTCATGCCATTATTTACATTTTCCACATTTTACAGGTGGTGGTCGAGAGGTATTCAAAAACTGACCTCCCTGAGATGGAGAAGAGAAAGTAAGATACGGGTGTTACGACCATCGCTAACTTCTGTTTGCTTTCTCGCCCTTTTGTGCCTTTGGTATTAGTTACTTCAAATCGGCAATATATCTCTGTTCTCATCTTATTTATGGCTGTTTGCGAGGAAATATGCATGTACACTCACCTTTCTTCGTAATACAGTGACAGCATGTGTTTGTGGGTGTTTTGTGTTCAATGCATCCAAAGAACAAAATATAATAGAAAACAGACAGACTAGTTAAACAGAACATCTTTCTTGATGGTATGCTTAGTCGTTTAGTTGCACTATTTTTTGTGAACAATGCTCTTCAGTGTGAAAATTATCCTGGCATCTCTTGCCAACTACATGCGGAACAATCATTGTACCAGAATTGTTTAGGACTCGTTTCACTTTTCTGTGTACTGGTGCCTTGTTCAAGAAAAAAGGCTGGCTTACAGTTCATTTATGTAAGCCTTGTGTCATTGATAATTAATGACTAGTCAGTGGATTGAAGTTCAATCCTACAATTTGTCGATGAAGATCACACTCCTTCATGAACTGAGATGTGATAGTTAAATCCTTCATTTGCTTTTGACGACAGATTCCTGGTCCCCCGAGACATGTCTGTTGGGCAATTCATTTACATTCTGAGTGGCAGGCTCCATCTGAGTCCTGGGAAAGCTCTCTTTGTATTCGTGAAAGATACCTTACCTCAAACATGTAAAATCTCTATTACCTCTCTTAGTTATCCTTGTAGTAGTGACGTGGTTCCTTTATAAGGGGTGATCTGTTTATGTTGTTAATTTTTGGTTGCAGCAAGCTTTGTGGAGTCTGTATACGATTCATACAAGGATGATGATGGGTTCCTCTACATGTGTTACAGCAGCGAGAAAACCTTTGGTTGTGTTCTTAACCCAGTATGATGCCGCGACTATCTTGATTATTGTACTGTTCTTGTTGTTTCTGTAAATTCACTATCAAACGTGTGAAAATATTGTGCATCTTCTAACAATGAGTTGATGTTTGGAATAAAAGGTATGGATCGTAGTTGTTTCTGTAAATTCACCTGGAATTAGAAGCATTTATATCTACGTGAAATACGTGAAAAAATATCCACATAAAACAGATATTTGTATGTTACTTGTGAGTTGTGTATCACGTTATTGATAAGCAATGTTTATAGTGACAGTATGGATCATTGTTGTTTTGTACATAAACAGAAGTTTGTCGTCGTGATCGATGCACAATATAGATCGCCACTTCTAGTCAGAAATAGATTCATAATTCAACAATTAAAACTGCACAGGAAATTGAAGAAAACGCATAGCCTTTTGGGACCAAGATACATAGAAGTAAGCACTGAACGAATTGGGATGTTTATTTTCCAGTACACAAAAATAATGGGAATGAAAACCATCAAAGCTAAAGGTGACTTTCAACAATTCACAGCAAATCAGACGGGTAATCTGAGAATCATTTGAATTCATTCAAGAAACAAAAAGTTCAAGCTTCATTATAATATACAGTTTCACAAAATTAAGATGATACTGTGGCAATTCCCACATATGCAAAGCTAAGTCAACAACGCAGTGTTCAACACAGTTGAGAACACTGAAAAGCTTAGAACTGATATTTTGTCATTCTATAAATCGAGGGCAACCATACTGCACCTTTTAGATTGAAGACTTCAGTAGAAAAAATACACGTATACGAACAGACAGCAAAAACATGGACCTTTGTCAAAATAGGAAACCCAAGCAACATTCGGCAAAAACTGTTTTACCTTGGGACTTTAAATTACAGCAGAAGCAACTCATCAGAAAAGCTAGCCCGACTTAGAAGTCATCAAACCAACAGATGGAGACTTCCAATTACTTTCAGTTAAAACTCATCTTCTTTAGCTTCAATTTTTCGTCCCTTTTGAAGTAACTGCCAAAAGCCTTTGACCTCCACCATTTCGCCAAACACCACGAACAGGCATACCTTCCAAAGCATTATCCTGCTTGTCTGAGGCTGCATTCCTCTGATTTGGGTCAGAATCTGAATCTGGATCCGAATTTTTATGATCCAAGAATGCTTCCGCTGAGCCATCACCTAGGCGGATTCTGTGGAACTTTGAGATTTTTTTCCGTTGTTTACCTTTTCCATTACCATTTCCTGAATTTTGTTTACCTTTCGTAGAGTCATTCTGGCTTTTCAGCTTTGTAGATTCGCTCGATCCACTCAATTCGGCCAGTGAGTTGTCAACCAACATGTTTGATTTGCCTTTCGGAGCTCGATACTCATCCTTAGACAACACTTCTACATCTTCTGAAGGCTTGTAGCTCGACTGCAGTTCTTTTACAGTGCTAACAAAGTTATCTGCTAAGTTATTTTTTGAAATGCTGTTTACAGAATCTAAAACTTTGCCTTTACCTTTACCTTTACCTTTCTTAAAACTATTACCATCTTTCAAGCTAATACCACTACTATAACCATTCTCTCTCGAAGCATTGTATTTCATATTAGCATTGTACGTGTCAATCAACTCTCTCTGCTTCCGAGAATCAGGAAGGAGTCTAGTCAAGTCTAGAACAAGATGCGACAAACCAAACTGCTCCACACATGCTAGATATGTTTCGGTGTCCATTAAATCTTGACGAAATTCACTAGACATCATTTTAAAAGCAGTGTATTTCTCTTCGTCAAACCCTAGTGCAGCACGCATTTTCTCGACCAAAGATTTGTTTGCACTGTGAACGTCTTCCACCTTCAAAACAGCTTGGTCACTCGCAGGTTTCTTGCTAGGGTGAGCTACAGAAACTGGAGGGAAATCAGAATATGAAGAGTCAAAAGGTCCCCTCTGAGAAAGATTAGGGGCTGATGTGGAATGACTGATCCGACCCGTGTTCCCACTATTCCTGGATGAACTTAAAGAACCTGCAAATGATGAATCGTGAATTGACAAGGGTCGAGCTTGAGCAGAACTAGAATAACTAGATAGAACCGCTCCCTTTTCCATTGCATGGCCAGAGCTAGATGCTGAACCAGAATGTGTCCATTAAATCTTGACGAAATTCACTAGACATCATTTTAAAAGCAGTGTATTTCTCTTCATCAAACCCTAGTGCAGCACGCATTTTCTCAACCAAAGATTTGTTTGCACTGTGAACGTCTTCCACTTTCAAAACAGCTTGGTCACTCGCAGGTTTCTTGCTAGGGTGAGCTACAGAAACTGGAGGGAAATCAGAATATGAAGAGTCAAAAGGTCCCCTCAGAGAAAGATTAGGGGCTGATGTGGAATGACTGATCCGACCCGTGTTCCCACTATTCCTGGATGAACTTAAAGAACCTGCAAATGATGAATCGTGAATTGACAAGGGTCGAGCTTGAGCAGAACTTGAATAACTAGATAGAACCGCTCCATTTTCCATTGCATGGCCAGAGCTAGATGCTGAACCAGAAGCAGAATTTATTGCAGGCCATGCATGAGGATTGACTGTTGGTTTTGCAAGCGCTGGTGCTTGTTTAGACTGGCCAGAGCTAGATGCTGACCCAGAACTAGTATTTATCGCAGGCCATGCATTTGAAGTAATAGCTGCTCGGGTAGGGGTACGGCTCGCAGCTGACCAAGACACAGAACTAGAGGCATTGGTTTTTTTATTGCTCTGGCGTCGGAGTTGTGCAGCCATAGTGTTCTTGTGTAAAATATCAGGTTGAGAATCTTGTTGACCACCTCCTGGAGCCATAGAGAGAGGAGGAAACAAAGACTCTTTGAGTGTAGAATTTCTTGCTCTCTGTGACACGGCTTGAAGGTATCTTGAAGTTGGCTCAGCGTCAGTGGTAGCTAAAGATTCAATGAGAGACTCAACATCACTAATGTCTCCATGATCAGCAACTGTATTGGAACTAGACAATGCGAGATGAAATCTACTACCATCGGAACTGGCTGTCTGTAGACTTGATTGGATTGCCATAGAGAGTTCATTATCAGAAGTATCACGATGGAAGATCCGTCCCCTTCCACGACGATTATCTTGTTCATTACTTCGCCGATATCGAAAACTGATAGGTATCTGCGTGAGGATAAACCAAGACAGCATGTTTTAATACTTGTGTAATCAAGAGAAAAATGAAAGATAAATTCAGCGTAAGGGGTTGGCTCTAAATGAATAACGCGGTAGTTACTAATTAGACAAAGGGGGTGGCGGTCAATTAAGTTGGATAAAGCTACCTGAAGAGCAGCACTGCGCTGTGAACGAGACATACGGCCTCCGTGCTCTAAAGCATTGTGCTTCTGAAAATCGAATCAGCAAAAAAATCAAGAAATTGCTATACACCAGAAAATGTAGGAATACTAGATAGATTATAGAGGTCCTTGTCCATGCAAGGCTCAAAAAACTAACATAGTAATCTTCAAGCATGATTGTTAACAAAAATGGATTTGCTAGATTTGCTGACCTTCAATTCAGGTTCAAACTGGAAGACAACGAACTTTTTAGTGAGGCATGCCTCATCCTCACACAAGAAATGATCTCGGCGGAAGTGCACCTGAAAAAGAAAAAGAAAATTTCTATCAGATTAACAAATTAAGCCCCTGTTTGATGGCCATTATTTCCCAAAAACGATGTTTTCAATAGTGATTTTTTTGGAGAATGTATGATTAAAAGTCGGGAAAAGTTTTGAGTTTACGTGTAAAGTATTTTATTACGCAAATGTGCAGTTGAAAATGAGTACGAGAATTATAGAGTTTTGTTTTAAAGGGAGACAAACAGGGGCTAAGGAAGCAAGTATGAAGATTTCAAGAAACTGCCATGTAGTAACCTCTAACCTCCAAGTCATCATAATTCTTGTAATACTCAAATTGTCCTGGATTCTGCCTGCAAGAAACAGCGTAGAATTCCAATAAATTCTACACGTGTTGATAAAACCCAATCAATAGTACTTCTAAGTAGAAGCCCAGAAATCACCTTTGGCAGATATGACAAGTGTAATGTTCAGTGGACATGTGTGTGTACAGCTCATTATCCCCATAAAAAGGGGTCTTGCAGAATTCACACATAGGATGCCCCATGAAACCACCTCTTTCACTTTCAGTTCCATCCACCTCAGAATCGCCAGTCTTTATATGCTGACTAAGTTGTGCTCTAGTGTATAACTTTTGCTCACATATAAAAACCTGATTGAATCAAAAGCAGCTTATCAGGTCTTCTAGCCAAACTTATAATATATTGACAGAGTTAGAGGAAAACTATAGGATTACTAAAGGGAGAAAAAAAAAACCCGAAGCGGATATACATCATCTAATGGAAAAATTGAAGCTCAGAATGCAACATGCAGAGAGCTGTAGTCAGTTGCATTTGTATCAAAATACAGTCAAGATAATCCTCTATACTAAAGAAAATACATTCAGCTGATGTCCTTGCATATAACAGGGAAAATAAATTATTAGTTTCTGATAGTTATCAGACAAATTCTATAATCGATTGTGTGAGTTTCCACTTTCCATCTTCCCCATAAAATGTGGCATGTTGACCAATGTAAACATCGCATGTGGAAATTACTTTAAAATCACACGGGCTAATATACAATATATATTACAGCTTTATATGCATCTGAGAATTGACACTATTAATCTAGATATATTTTCCAATTTTAGAAGGCCAGATTTGGTCAATCATGAAGGTAAACATAGAAACAGAACTTAAATTTCATTCCTTTATCAAAAAAAGTGTCCCTCAGTTTTAGATCTACATTTATACCATTTTAGATGGCTATCTAGACACAAACATCAAAAAACACTAAACAATAGAAGTCTGCACAGTAACAGATGATTCTTATAATGCAGAAAAAACTAGTAAAATGGATAAATCTATGGAATGGGGTAAAAGAAAAAAAAAATAAAAAATACCTTCCTTCCTTCCAAGCACAAGCTGCACATGATGAGCTTATGCTTGTGAAACAAATGACCTTTGAGCTGTTCAATGTTCCTAAACTTTGGCTTTCTCCTGGATCCATCCTCGGTCTGTCCCTCCATATTATCACATACACTGCAAGAAAGCCTGCACATGGCCTTGATCATATTGTAGTGATCGGAATCGTCAAAAAATGCCTGTGTGTCCTCATGGTACCAGTATTTCCCCACTCGACCTTCTTTAACTTCCAATGAAAATACTGAAAAATCGCTTATCGCATTTGTGTAATCTCCTAGGGCCTAATTGCACCCAAGAAAAACAAGAAAAATTATTTAGTTTTCATCTATCATTCTAAAATCTTCAATCAATCGACAACCACTTTCCAATTTCCGAAACTGGGTACTTTCAATTAATTTCTAAAAAAATTTCACACGAAGCCCCACTTTTACAAGATAATTATGAAATCCTAATTTTATCAATCGGTCCAATCCTATTACCTCGCTCTTCAAATTCAAACATTTTACAAAAATTGAAGCAAAAAATGCTATAATTAATAAAGAAAGATTGTTTTGTTGGTGCTCACCTTAGTAACAAAGACGACGTTTGACTCGGTCTTGCAAATACAGCAGCGGCGATCGTCGCAGATGAATCGGAGGCGAGCGACACAAGTTGAGCAGACATCTTTGTGGCCGCACTCCCCGTACGCCACCCAATCAAACACCTCCGCACACACCGCACAGCTATCGTCCATCGCCTTTGTTCACTAGTGTAAGATTGTTGGCCGCACTCCCCGTACGCCACCCACTCCAACACCTCCGCACACACCGCACAGCTATCGTCCATCGCCATTGTTCTCTTGTCTAAGATTGATTCAGAATTGAAATCGAATGTGGATTGCGCCAACGAACAGGACAACAGGATTATATAGGGTTTCTGGATGGTCAGAAACTCAAAATAAAATGATAAAAAAAAATAGCTAAAACGATTCATATGATATAATTACGTGTAATGCTATTCATCCCACACATTTCTATGTTGAGTTGAGCTTGACATTAAATGATAGATTCGTTTAGATACAAAGTCACATTTTTATCAATTACACATTTTTTAATAACATAATATTACATGTAAATTTAAACTTTTCATTCTTTTTTAACCACGTTCCCCAAAAAATTACTATTTCAAAATTCATTTTTCCTAAATTCTCCTTCTAATGGGGGCCAAACAAGGGCAAACTCGTGTTTGATAAGTCAAAGCCAATAATTAATTTTAATTACATATTTAAGAATAATGTTAAGTATCTTTTGTAACCCCAGTTTAGGTAGCATTAGATGACATGTTAAATGAAGATGAAATTAAGTGAGTCATTTAATTTCACTTATCATTTAATGTCGCATTGTCGTCATCTAAATTGTGATTGCAATTTCAGTAGAACTAAATAGCATTATTCCATATGTTATGGCAATCTGCTACATTGTCAAAAAATCTTGGACAATTCTTGTGGTACATTATGGGATCCATAAGGGTCTACATAATAGACACTTTGCGGTCTACAATTGGTTGGAGTGCCGGTCCCACAGGCACTCCCACCAATTGTAGGCCGCAATGTGTCCATTATGGATCCCTTTATGGATCACATAATGTACCACAAGAATTTTCCAAAAATCTTACCATTTTGGCTGACATAATGACACATGGTGTCTCTCATTAGACAATTTAAAAAAACAAACAATTTTTCCATCAATCGTTCGTTGTCACTAATGCATATGTCATCTAAAGTGGTTGACAAGAAAGCATTATTCATCGTATATCTCCCATAACTTTTTAGCAATATATTCATCAACTTATATCCAAAGGACCAAATCTAATAAAAATCTAATTTTAATCTCCACAATAATAATTGATTAGGCATCTGTTTGTTTCTCATTTTTCATCCATAAAAATGAAAAATATGACCATTATCCATCATATCAAGCCATCAATTTTGAATTTCTATCTCTTTTGTGGGCCCAATAACGATTATATGTTCCATTCTCATTCTAAAATAATAAGAATCAAACGGGCCATAGATTCAATTTTGAAAGACCGTTGGGGTGGGGTTGGCTTCAGTTTTTGAGGCTACCCAAATGGAACCGAACCATATTGATTAGTCCGTTTGATCGACTTTCATATTTAACTCGTGAAAAAATAGTCTACACTGAATCCTTAATGTTTAAATTAGAGAAGTAAGCTGATTATTCAAAATGTCTGAAAATTGGATATTTAAGAATTTTATTAATTTAAATAATTGGAAATTTTGTTTTAATTCTTTATTATCTTTCCTGATAATGTGTCATAAATTATAATTACGGCAATTTAACACAATAAGAGCGTGTTATGGAGCAATTTTTGTGGGATTCTAATCAAAATTATAGCCGTTATAGTCAACTTGTGGGCCCCACCCGTGATAGGGAAAGTAAAAAATGGTGGCTGATTTGATAGTTAACAGCCAGAATTTTGGTTAGAATCTTGATTAAAATTTCTCCCAAACAAGGCCTAAATTCCCTTTTAACTAGATACAAGAAGAGTTACACTTCAAACAATACATTTTCACGGTCAGAGAGGGGTGCAAATTTTATATTGATTATATTCTAGTCGTCATCACTATTCATGTTTGAAGCAACATATACGAGGAAGAAGGTGACAAAATTTGTTGTCTCATCCGAATCAAGCATTCGGTACGTTATAGGCCACGAAACATGATTGTGATGCTAGTTTCGGGAAAAAAAAAAAAGTCACACGACACAAAAATTCAATTATCTATTCAATTGTGATGGATGATCGGTAAATATAGTTCAACAATAATTGTTTGGCACTTCAGCCAAATTTGAGATTTCTACATTCTCGATTCAGATGCAGTGTGGATGATTTGATATATTTTGAACGATGAAAAATTCCTAGTTAGCTATTCAATTTAAGACTCTATTTGACAATTCAACTTTCTTATTTTCAATTACACATCCACACAATAAAATATTTTTCACGTAAATAAAAAAAAAAGTTTTTCCATTTTTTAGCCACGCATTCTTCTGAAAATCACTATTAAAAATATTATTTTTTCTAAATAATGATTGACAAACAGGGACTGAATGAGTTGAGTATTGGGTTTAACTCAATTTGGTCTAATGTGAACGAGCATTTTTAATTGATGTGTTTAGTTTTATTGAATTGGATAAAACTTAAATTAATTTAATTTCAAATTTATTTTTTATAAACGATTCAACGGTTTGGAAATCTAAACCAAATTGATTTACTTCTAAATCAAAATATAGACGAATACCAAACCTATAATTTCAAAAAATTGGTTTAGGCTCAAGTTTGTGATTTTCTCTTTGACAATTTCGTTGTTCCAACTATATTAAAAGCTATCATCAATGTTAGGGAAAAATTTATAAATAAAAGGTTAAATTTCATCCATTTCAAATTTGAAAACATGAGATTTAAAATTTCAAATGTCAGATTTTTTTAAATTTTATTTATAAATTAAATAATTAAATATATTAATGTCACAATTCTATATAATTTGGTTACAAATTATAAATTACTTAGTCACAAATTATTTATCGGTCACAAATAAAAAATTTGATAGGTCACTTAACAATTACAAATCGAAAATTTTATAAGCCACAATTTTTTTATCGGTCACAAATTTATAAAATTAATAAGTCATATATTATTCATTGGTCACAAATCACAAATTTTATATATTAAAAATTATTTTAAAGTCACATTCAAAAATTTTATAGATCACGATTTGATCATCGGTCACAAATCACAAATATTATAAGTCACAACTTATTAGACAGTCACTGAATCAAAATTTTATTGGTCACAATTCAAAATTTTTATATTTCACAATTTATTCATCGGTCACAAATAAAAAATTTATACTTTACAATTTTTTATCGGTCACAAATCACAAATATTATAAGTCACAACTTATTAGACAGTCACAAATTATCAAATTATCGACCACAAATTAACAATTTTTTAGATCGCGCTATTTTTTTGTCACAATTTATCTTTTTCATTAGTCGAATATTGCTTATCAATCACAAATTAATCAATTTAATGGTCACAATCAACAAAATAATTTAGTGATCACCACTAACACTTGTGATCGCCTCACCACTGCCACAAACAACATAGCAACTGAAACCCTGTCAACGGAACCACTTACCACCAACTCACGCCGTCGACGGAACCACTTACCACCACCTCCCTGCAACAGACCATCATCTAAAAAATACTGATATTAACATGACCACCACTACCTATCCACAATCACCACCCCACTACCCCCACTAAAACCACAGAACCTCCACCACCACCTCATCCTAGAACCAAAAAATAAAATAATAATCCCCAACTCTACAATCATCGTTGTCGTCGTTGCAACACATATCTACCACCACTACTGCGCACTACATAGATCCACCACCACCATTGCGCACTACATATATCCACCACCGCACACCATACCACCCACAGCACACCACCACCATCTTCTCTTTCTCTATCTCCATCTCCATCTCCATCTCCATTTACACAACACCTAACCACCACTTTACCACAGATCCATCGCCACGCTCACAACATACCACCACCGCACATTGCACCACCCACAATACACCACCACCACCATTTACACAGCCCCACACGTCTCGACAGAAAGAAAATGGAGAATGGGAGGATGGTGAAGAAAGGGAGAACAGTGGCAGGTTCCACTTCGAGCGTTAGCGTCGCGAGACGATCGTGCAGCGGTGTTGCTGTAGCTGTAAGGCACTGTTGCGCCGATAGTGTGTGGCTTACTGGTTGGTTGCCGGAGCAACCTTTCTTTTCCTTGTTGAAGTCGAAGCCGCCGAAGGGAGGGAGGGGAAAGGGATGAAGATGTGGGTAATAATTTGGGATTTTGAGATTTTTAGGGTTTGAGTAGTATTAAAGATTTGAATTAATATTTGATTTTTATATAAATAGATTTTATCTCATTTTTGAAATTGAATCTTTAAAATTCAGGTTTTGTGTAATTTCCACTAAGGAAAGAATTCATAAATCAGAGTTTAAGTTTCAACAATTCAAAATTTAGGTTTTAAATTTATAAAATACAAAAAGCGGGTATTTAGCTAATTAATTAAAAATACTCATTATTTAAATATAATAAACTCAATAAATTAATTTACTAAATATATATTTTACCAATTAATGGCCCCATTTGCTCATGATTAAAATTTTAATCTAAATTAAAATCAAACAATCAATATCAATCACATTTTTTATGAGTTCCACAACTTTTCAATTACACATTTTAAAAATTTATATCACGGACTACTAAAAATCTAATTTGAATATCCACCAAATACCCCCATTCATTCCTGTGTTAATATACGTTAAACCAGTCAAGTATCTAAGTAAATAATCAAAAATTAATTTTCAGTCGCAATTTATCAAATTATTGGTCACAAATTTTTTCTCAGACACAAATAAATTTTTTTATAGATTACTTTTCGAACACAAATCAAAATTTCATAGCTCACATATTATTCATTGGTCACTAATCGAAAATTTTATTGGTCACAACTTATTTATTAATTGCAAATCGATCACAATTTACTTAATTATTGGTCACGACTTGTTTTTTGTCACAAATCAATAATTTTATAGGTCACGGATTATTTATCGATCACGAATAAAAAATGTTATAAGTCAAATTATTCATCGATTACAAAATCAATTTTTTTATTGGTTACAACTTAATAAATTGTGAGTCACAATCACAATTTTTAGGTCACATATTATTTATTTGTAAAAAATTAACCAATTATTGGTTACAATCAATCAAATAATTGGTCACAGACACCCACCTCATCTCATCCCACCCACGACCATCGCCATGACCACTGTCGTCGTCGCCATCACGACCACCACCACTACGACCATCGCACACAACACCGTTGTCAAACATCACCACTGCACAACACTTGCAACCACCACCTCAACACTGCCTCCAGCAGCACAACTGCCACCGTCGTCATTAGAACCACCACTACAACCTTAAACAAATCAACACCATCGCCAACTCGCCACTAGAACCACGTCATGTCAGATCTACCACCACCACCACCACCACCACCACAATTGCAAACAAATCACACATGATAGAAAAACACAACCACCACCACGTCATGCCAGATCCACCACCACCACCACCCCACCCCACCCCACCCCACCCCACCCCACATCCACAACACAACCACCAAATAGAAATCCACCATCAGTAGCCAATCCACCACCACCTCACCTCCACAGTACAACCACCAAATCAAGACATAGAGCACACCATCGCCATTGTTAAATCCATCACCACCAGCACGATCCACCACCACCACTAAAACTACCCAAACATCACATCCACCACACTACACGGCACCACACCACTTACCCGACTGCTGCACTGCACTGCACACCTCCACCGTACCAAAGCACATCACCGCACACAGCACCCGATCTCTGTTCCTACCACACACTGCACACCTCCACCACCGAACAGTCAATCACCACCACTTAAAACTAAAAAAAGAAGAATAAGGATGAATTTGCACCGTGCGGCGATGAGCAAAGTGGATTTGCATCAACGCGATGAGCGCAGCGATGTCGTCGACAGAGATGGGAGGCGTCATTGGTGAAGGTTGGTAGAGAGAGAGAAGAGAGAAGGCGGAGAAGACGAGTGAGAGAAGATGGAGAGAGAAAGAAAATGGAAATGATTTCTAGGGTTTGTGATGAAATTGATTATGGTTTGGGATGAAAATTGTATAATTAATATTTAAAATTAAAAATGAAATATCTGATTTTTGAAAAGTGAAACTTCCTACTTGATTTTTGAAAATTGTTCTTGAGAGGTAGGGTTTTGTGCAATTTTCACTTCCACTAAACATTACCCAGGCCTGGCCCAATTGTGTGGCCCAACGTAGCCGATAGCCTACCCAGTTGCAGCTCTCTCAGAAAGCCCTAATATTTTAGGAGATCTCCTCCTTACCGACCTTTATCCAGCCGTGACTCTGTAGAGAGACAGAGCGAGACACCCAAAAACCCTAGCATCGGAATTTCTTCAACCAAGCCGCCAAAATGCAGATATTCGTGAAAACCCTCACGGGGAAAACCATAACCCTGGAGATGGAATCCTCCGATACCATTGACAATGTCAAGGCTAAGATCCAGGATAAGGAGGGCATCCCACCGGACCAGCAGCGTCTAATATTCGCCGGAAAACAGCTTGAAGACGGTCGTACACTCGCCGACTATAATATCCAGAAGGAGTCCACTCTCCACCTCGTCCTCCGCCTCCGCGGTGGCGCTAAGAAGCGCAAGAAGAAGACCTACACTAAGCCGAAGAAGATTAAGCACAAGAAGAAGAAGGTCAAGCTCGCCGTACTTCAGTTCTACAAGGTCGAGGATTCTGGCAAGGTACAGAGACTGCGTAAGGAATGCCCCAATGCTGAATGTGGCGCCGGAACTTTTATGGCTAACCATTTTGATCGTCACTATTGCGGTAAGTGTGGCCTCACCTATGTCTACAATAAGGATGGCGGCGACTGAGTATGAATGTTAGTCGAGGGATTCATATTACCTTTTTTGTTTTTCCTGTTTTAATCGTCGTTTGTGAATGATTATTATGATTTAGGGTTTTGGAATTTGATTTCAGATGAATTTTGGTTAAGAAAATACTTGGAATTTTGTTTAATCTAATTTACAGTTACTGCTACTATTAGATTATACTTATGTTTTATCAGTTGATGGATTTCTGAAGGCGTCTTAGATAATATTATTTGTCAAGAAGTATACCATGTTACTGCCTTCACACTCTAATTGATTCGCAGAGAGGAAAACTTATGCTCACTATTGCAGTTGTTTTTAGTTATGAGCTTCTTCGCCTTATAATGCTTTGCATTTATTTATGCTTGTCATTATCTTTATAATTTTTGAGTTCTAAAGAGGACCAAAATTTTGAATGGGTCTTATTACATCATATTTGGTCTCTTCTCGCTAGTTTTTCTACGAGTCTAGAGTGTAGTTATTGATATAGGGCAATTGAAGTCTTCCGTGATCATTTGTTGTGGCAATTACTGCATACTAGTTACCATTTTCAGAAACTTTTAATAGAGACCGTTGTATAAATTAGCGTTCTTGGTATCTTTGCTAAGATAACATGAGATCAATTAAGTGACCGAGGCAAGTTGTCTAGTTAATGGGTTCAGAGGCCTGGCTGCTAGCACAGTCGGTTGGTTACTTCAATTAGTTGAAATGTTTGATCAAATATCACGCTTGAGCTATTTTCAGTGTTTTGTAGTAGACCTGCTACAGCATATTAGGGAGCCAGATAGGTTAAAGAGAAGTCGCACTTGAGCTTTAACGTTGCGTCCAACTAGTTAATTGCTAAGTACATCTGTAATTATGCCTCTCTTTGATTAATGGGTAGGATGTTATATCACGTTGGGGGAACAGTGGATTCCATCTCTTAGATGCCATCTTTCAATCTATATTAGATATATTTCTTCTTTCGTAAGAGACCTGTTAAAAGGTCTTTCTAGATGTAAAGCTTAAACTTGCACACAAATATTTTCCTCTGACAGATCTTGTACTTGTTTTTAATGGGAATAAGGGCTAGAGGTAAATATTGAGGGTTAATACATTGGCATTCAGGACCATTCTCCCCTACTCTGCTGCAGACCCATGAGGTGAGGTGAGGTGAGGTGGTGGTGGTGTGGTGAGGTGGGGAGATTGAGGGAAATAGATTCTTTCAAGGCAGTTGATTGAAGTGTCAAGGAGAAGAAGCACAGAATTTAGAGTATGCATACCACCCATCAATTGTAAAACATATAGCAGATGTTAGCACCCTTAAGGGCCTTAACAAAGTGAGCAACTGAGCATTACCAAAAGTCCCTATTCAGCTGTTAAAAATGGAAACCCGAAGAAACATGTCGAAAGAGAAGACAATACGTACCAGATTCACTTGTAGATGCACATTTGACAGAAATGGTGCTATAATGGACCAAAATGTTATCTCAGTCAGAATAACAGCTCCTGCACAAGTCTATATGAAGTTTGCATAAGGTATTACTCAATATATTAAAATTCAATAACTTACTCGGTGTACTACACATAGATAGATGCATCGTAGTAAAGCATGTCATAGCCAAAAATCCGCAAAGAATAGACAATGATGCAAAACGAAGTCCAAGCAGCCAGATGAGGTGCAACCCTTTCCAACAAGTGCTCCATGGCTGAGAGGACCTCAAATTTCCTATAGGCTGCTTCCCAATTAACAGGCTCTCATAATTGCTGGTTTTGTTGTCAAATACTTCCTTTCTCCATAGCACATAGAGGGCAACGATGAAGGCCACACCCACTATTCCGAAACAAGTGTAATCGTACCAATATCCCACCACAAGCCCCATTCTTGGATACCTTGTTGCTCAGTTATACTTTATTGTGTTTACATATTTGCATAATCCTTGAATAACTTCTTGCTTAGTTATACTTTATTGTGCGTGTATATATTTGCATATGAGGTAGTTTTAAGTAGTTTCTTGTATATAGCTGGAGACTAACGGGTTCATGCTGGCTCGTGGGACTGGTAGTTTAGAACTCAGATTAATTATGTATGTACGTGAGACATGGATTGTTTTTAGTGTGTATATATTTTTAGCCACCAATATTTCCTAAATACATTTTTCTTTTATCTTATTTTCAATTACACATTTTTCAATAAAATAATATTACACACAAATCCAAAATTTTTTCTTATGTTTGAACTACACATTCTCCATCAAAATACTATTCCATAATTCATTTTTATCACAAAAATGGGGCTCAACAGGATTGGGATTTTCCTCTTATGCTAAGTGTAGGAACGGATCTCGGTCCGGACGTAAAAAAAAAAAAATGTACACATAAATTTTTTTTACATAATCTTTCTTAACCATTCTTTTTTTCTTATAATTATTTTCAACTATTCATTTCCACGAGAAAATATTCTTCGCATAAAACTCAAATTTTTTCTCTAATTTTTAATCACATATTTTTCAAAAAATTATTATTTAAAAGCTCATTCGTCCTAAAGATGACAATCAAACGGGGCCTCAGATTATTAAGGGGTCTGTTGAGTCTGCGTNATTTATTATTATTATATATATTTTTTAATTTTTCGGTGGTAAGTTGGTGAATGTTATAGTGTTTTTTCCGGCTACAAAAATTAAATAAAAACAAATAATAAATTAAGGAGGCAAAATACAGGAAAAAAGATAAAAATTGGTAATGTAGATTGAGAATTTTTATGTGTTCATTTAAATAGATTTTCTAATTTTTATTTAAATAATTAATAAGAGTTTTAATTATTTTTATTTTTTATTTTCTACAATTTTTGTTTTTCAGATTTTTTATTTTTTTAAAATTTAGAATTTTATTTTTTCAAATTTATGTTTTTAGAATTTAATTTTTCATTTTTGAAGAAATTAAATTATCTAGAATTTTGTAATTTTATATTTTTGTTACTTATTTTTAATTTTATTTAACTTTCAAAGTTATAATGCTCTTAATTGGCAATTACATATACTCTAATTAAGTATATGAATTAACCACCCTTTATTTCAATTAGAAAACAAATTTATCAACTTTTCAACAATTCATAATAATTTAAGAACACTTTAAATATGTTAAGGTACACAATAGAAGCATGTAAATGAAAATACGATATTGAGCTTAGTTGAGCAGAGCACGAGCTAGCTCGCCTGAAAATTTTTGGACCCTGCTCGCCCGTCATTTTTTTTAAAAATTGATTTATTTTTTACTTTAAGGGTGCACCCAGCACACCAGATTAGACTAGCTAACTAAAAGAAAATAAGCAAGAATTTTTTTACAATACATATAGTGAGTGAATATGAAAGCAAAAGCCTTCAAACCTTGACAATTGGCTATGACAATTCAGTAGTCTTCATGCTCAAAATGGACTTCTACAGAGTGAATTCACTACCGGCCAACCAATTGTTATGTAAAGATACCATTCGGGCTAGCGGTGGCAAGGCCCCGAATGTGTGCCTCCAACCAGCATCGAGCACAATCATGTCTCAACAATAAAGCATCTTTTAATTTTGATGGATAGTATAATGATTACAACGAAAACCACCAACAACGTTAGATTATACATTATTTTTTATTTTTTTAACCGACTAGAGATGAAAACATTATAAAGCTTTTGTGACTAAATGAGTTATGGAAAATGTTGGAATTGTGATGCCATTTGTGACATTAGCTTTCTAACTAGTTTTTGGGGCAATGATGAAAATGGACCAAGCCCAAAAGCTGTTGAAATGTTTTTCTGGAAAACATTGCCCAATAACTCAGTCAAGAATCAGGACCATAACCCGAGCCCAAAAGGAATAATCAAGTTTGTTGCTCTGGACCGTCGGATGAAGTCTGATCTAACGGTGGATGGCTTAATCTATATATGCTGGTTGACTGTTCATTTTTGTGAGAGTTCCTTTCACCCCGTTCATTGCTTTGTGCGAGAAACTATTCTAGAGAGTTCTTCCTGCCTTTGTGTCTTCGTGTTCTGCACTGTAATTACATACAGTTTACTGCCTTTGTGGATGGATTGAAACATTTGGTTTCTAATCCTTGTTCTGTGTGATATTGCCTTTGTAGTTGAGGGTGTTTGGAGGAGTAGATCGTTTCGTTCAAATGTGTCCATTGAAGTAGCTTCTTGGATTATTTCCTTAGGGCTTTGGGTAGTTTGCGGCTGGTTTGAGATTGTACAGACGGGCACAATGTCTATGTAAAAATTCTGAGCCCATTGTAACTTTCGGATTTTCTTTGTGTAAATCTGATTTTGAACATTCTTGGTGAATATATTTCTGCTTCCGTTTGGTATATTCCTTACAAAAAAGTTTTATGACCAACTTGAAATTTGTTACAAACTTTAATGACTATTGACGAAATTAGCTCAATAAGTAATATAGTTTAAGCTTACTTGGGAGAATAAGGAGATGTTCTCTTTATGTTTCAATTTTGTGTTTTGAGTTTTGAATTCATTTTGTGCTTTTGAGTGTCTGTTTTGAAATTTCTAAAAATGCGTTCTTTTTGTCATTTTGAAAAACTGTTTTGAAAAACAAAAAAATGGAAAACGCATTTATTTTGAAATTTTGAGAGTTTTTTTAATAATATTTTATTCAAAAAATCTGATTATTACATAAATTTTAATGGATTAATGTTAATATATTATTAAATAACATATAAATTTTGTAGTTGGTGAAACTTCATTAAATCATCAAAATTTGC